ATATATATATATATAAATCTAGCAAATGTTGGATTTTAATTGTGATAAATGAAACATGTTGGAAGAATGGGAAAAATCCTGAAAAATCTTCAGATAGTTTTGGGGTTATTATTAATTATAATATCTGTGAAAATGAGTGGCAAATAAATTTAATAATAAGAATTAATCTGGGCCTTTCTGTGCACAAAATTTATTCTTTGCCACTAAACTACAAATTTTCCTCCCCATAGTGAGTGAAGGCAAGACAGATATTCTTCTAAACTGCTGCACTTTCCATATGGTCATTTTAAAATAGTAAACAGATTGTCCTGGACTTGCCACCAAAATTGAGCCCCAATTTTTTGTTGCTAAGAGAGACATTTGTTAAATGAATTTTTCCCCATTTGACGACCTTTCTTGCCACAGTTCTTAAGTGAATCGCTGCTATCATTAAGTTAGTAAAAACGGCTGTTTAGTGAATCTAGTTCTCCCATTGACTTTCTTTGTCAGAAAGTTGCAAAGCTGATCTCATGACACTGCAATGGTCATAAATGCTCCAACCCTGGAAGTTTTTAAGAAGAGACTGGACAGCCATTTATCTGAAATGGTATAGGATTTCCTGTCTGAACAGGGAGTTGGAGTAGATGACCTCTAAGGTCCCTTCCAACTCTGCTATTCTGTAGTGAGATGAGCAGCAAGCAAAATAGATAGAAGACAGATAGATAGATCTGTTAGAATAATTAATCAGTTAGAATAATTAACCTATGGAACAACCTGCCTCCAGAAGCAGTAAATGCTCCAACCCTGGAAGTTTTTAAGAAGACACTGGGCAGCCATTTGTCTGAAATGGTATAGGGTTGCCTGCCTGAACAGGGGGTTGGACTAGATGACCTCCAAGGTGCCTTCCAATTCTGCTATTCTGAGCAGCAAGCAAAATAGATAGAAGACAGATAGGTAGATCTGTTAGAACAATTAATCAGTTAGAAAAATTAACCTGTGGAACAACCTGCCTCCAGAAGCGAAGCCTTTATCTACTCCTCTCTGAAGTCTCCTTTCCACCTGCAGTGAGGAAAAAGGGGGTGGAAATGTAACGCCTGGGATTGTTGCTGGAAAGGTGGTGTGGTGTGGTGGGGCTGCTGGGGACCCCTTAAAACCTTCAACCATAGGGCTTGGTCCCCAGGTCCTGTCTAGAATGCCTGCAACCATTTTCTTTTAATAAATAAATGCCTGTTGGAAGAAATATTCCAAGAGTTCTGTCTTCTTAAGATGCAAAGTGGGATGGGTCCTTACATTAGACAGGACTTGCAAAAATAATCCACCTGGAAGGGAGACCCTTGCCGGGGGATTTTGCAAAAATTACCATGTCAGACGGCGGAGCAAGGAAGGGAGAAAACTCCCCGGAAAGGGAGCTGCTGTCCCAATTGAAACCCTGCCAGATGTTGGGATCTGAGAGGTCAGATTCCTCAGGAGAGGTGGTGGAAGCACGGGACCACAAACCTCGGTGGTCAATGAGCGTTGGAAAGAAAGGCAAGTGGGAAAAGAAATCAAGAAAGGTGACCCTGAGACAGGGGGCCAACCAACCAGAATGGAAGCAGGAGATGGAGAAATCCCTGCAAGCAAGTGAAGAGGAAGGGAGCTGGGCACTCTGCTTGGGCTGGATCCTAGAGAAAGCTATTGACCTGATGAAGAGAACTGTCAGCTCCCTAGGAGAGGAGAATCCTGAGCCCTACTGCCACCCCAGCTCCTGGAGCCGCAAAGAGAGAAACACTGAGGGGGAAGTGGAACCTGCAGCCCTGGGGACATCTGCTGATCCAGTAGTCCGCACACCCCACCGACCCACAGATTGTGCCATTGAATTCAAGCCTGGGGCAAAACTCCCGAAGCCCAGATTATACTCCATGAGCCCAAAGGAGAAGGAGGAAATGGAAAGATTCATAAAGAAAAACCTAGAAAAGGGGTTCACTGAGCCAGCCAAGCCTAAAGTGGCTGCCCCAGTCCTCTTTAGAGAGAAGAAGGATGTCTCTTTACACTTATGCATGGATTATAGGGCCCTGAATACAATCAGTGAAAGCAACCTATACCCTCTGCCCTTCATGAAAAACATGTTGTCACACCTCTCGAAAGGGAATTTTTTTTTCTAAACTAGACCTAAGGGAAGCTTACTATTTCATGAGAATTAAGGAAGGGGATGAATGGAAGACCGCATTTAACTGCCCCATGGGGTGCTACCAATTCAAAGTCTTGCCATTTGGATTACAAGGAGGCCCCGCAGTCTTTATGCAATTAATCAATGATGTTCTAAGAGAGCACCTATTTAAGGGGGTCCTGGTTTATTTAGACAGCATTCTTATCTTCACCGAATCAAAAGAGAAACATGTCAACCTAGTCAGAGCGGTTTTAAAGAAACTGTGAGCCGCCCATCTATATGAACTGTGAATTCCACCAGGAAAGGATAGACTACGTAGGTTATCGCATATCCCCACAGGGCATTGAAATGGATCCAGAGAAGGTCAGAACAGTATTAGAATGGGCACCATCCCGCACAAGAAAGCAACTGCAAAGTTTCCTGGGCTTCGCAAACTTTTACCTCCAATTCATCCCCTCATTTGCCCAGCTAGCCCTACCCCTCACGAACTTACTAAAAATGAAGGGAGCATCCTCAGTAAAACCTAGCCAACCACTAACATGGACAATGGAGTGCCAAGCAGCATTTGAGAGATTAAAGAGACTTTTCTCTGCCGAACCCGTACTGAGGCACCCAGACATGGATAAGTCCTTTGTAATACAGGCGGATGCAAGTGATGTTGCAGTGGGGGCTGTACTATTACAAGAAAATGATGAAGGAGTATTGCAACCCTGTGCATATACATCCAAGAAACTCCCGGAAATTGAATAGCACTGGCCCGTATGGGAGAAAGAGGCATACAGGATACGTTGGTAATTACTCACATGGCACCAGTTCCTTGAAGGCAACAAAATCCCCTTCCAGGTGTGGACTAACCATAAAAATTTGGAAGCCCTGAAAACATCCAGGAAGCTCAACCCCAAGCAAGCCCGCTGGTCCCAGCATTTTCACCAGTTCCAATTTACGCTCAAGCATTTGCCAGGGGAAAAGAACTTCTCGCATGCCCCAATATAACAGCACGCAAGCCACCGACTCTAAACCAATGATGGTAGAATCACAACTGGCAGCACCAGTAACCACCAGAGCCCAAGCTAAATTGAAACCACAGCTGGGCAGCCAAACTGGAATTGAATTACGGAAAAGTTTGGAAACAGATGAATGGTTCCAGAAAAACAAAAATGTGTGCACAATGAGAAATGGGCTGCCTTGGGTGGGGATAAAGTTATATATACCAACAACCTAAAGAGTCACATTCATGCAGCTTTGCCACGACACAAAATCAGCAGGGCATTTTGGATTTGTAAAAAGATTATACTTAATTAAACGGCAATTTTGGTGGCCATCCATAAAAAAGGACATAGAAAGTTACGTGTCCAGCTGCCCAAAGTGTGCAACTGCAAAGAGGTTGCAAGGGAACTCACCCAGACTGTTACAAACAGTGGCAAATCCCTCAGCCCCCTGGAGGGAAATAGCCAGGGATTTTATAGTGGAATTACCTGAAAGCAATGGGAATACTGTGGTCTGGATGGTCACGGACTTGTTTTCCAAACTTTATCCCTTGCCAAAATATTCCCACCGCAAAAGCCTTAGCAAAACTTTTCATCCAGCATATTTACAGATTTCATGGGGCACCCCAACACATCATCTCTGATAGGAGAGTGCAATTTACATCTGCATTTTGGAAGGAATTTTTATCTCTCTTAGGGACCACTCAGGGACTGACATCTAGCCATCATCCACAAGGGGATAGACAAACAGAATGCTGTCACTCAGTACTTGAGCAATATTTAAGATGCTTTCTTAATTTCCAACAGTCCAATTGGACAGACCTACTCCCTTTTGCAGAAGTTGCTTACAATAATGCAGTCCACTCCAGCACAGGTTGCACTCCTTTTCAAATAGCTACTGGCCAAAGTTTCAACCCCATGCCAGAATTAACCCCAAATGAACCGGCGATCCCATCTCTGAAAGAATGGATGGAACAATTACAAAATACCTGGCCAATAGTTAGAAAAGCACTAGATGAAGCTAGGCAGGCATACAAAGCACAAGCCAATAAAAAAAGGGTTGAGCCTACACCATTCATTATAGGAGAAATTGTGTTCTTATCTACAAAATACCTAAAATCCCTACAACCCTGTAAAAAACTTGGACCAAAATATATAGGGCCTTTTCCAGTTAAAAAGAATCATAAACCCAGTAACAGTAGAATTAGAACTGCCAAAAAATCTCAGGCAAATAAACCCAATTTTTCATTGCAGCTTGCTGAAAAGACAACACCAGTCATTGTTATGGCCAAAAATCCCCCCCACCACCTCCAGTCATGGTGGAGGGTGAACAACACTTTGAAATAAAGGAAATCCTAGACTCTAGGAGATATCATGGAGCGACTCAGTACCTAGTTGCATGGAAACACCTCCCTGCCTCACAAAACGAGTGGGTCCATAAACGTCTTGTCAGAGCCCCGAAGCTATTAAAGAAGTTTCACACAGACTAACTTGTATACCTGTTTTGTTTTCTTTCAGGTGGATCTATCTTATTTTTAAGGGGGCAGGATGTCAGAATCCAATTATATTTCATTTCTAGTTATCGACTATGGAAAACCCCATTTCTGCCCTCTCTGGATTCTGTCATATGATGAAGGGGAAGGTGGGTGAACAAAGGGGTTTTATGGCCCTCACTTCCTTCGGTACAACTTCAAAGGGATTAAATGTGTATACCACCAAAAGGACTAAATCATAACAATGGGACCATCAGCTTTCATCTACTTCTCTCTGAAGTCTCCCTTCCACTGGCAGTGAGGAAAAAGGGGGTGGAAATGTAACACCTGGTATTGTTGCTGGAAAGGTGGTGGGGTGGGTGGGGCTGCTGGGGACCCCTTAAAACCTTGAACCACATACTCTGGTTTCTCTTCAGATCGTATAAATCTTTCGCCTTTTACTAAAGATTTCCGTGGAGAGGAACATTTATGAGTTTTCATGAATGGCAGAAAGGTATTAATAAATTTATCTGGGCAGGGAAAAAACCAAGAGTAAAACTTAAAATTATACAAGATATTCGCGAGAGAGGTGGACTCAAGGTACCGAATTTCAAATTGTATTATGAGGCTGTGGTTTTAACATTAATAAGTGATTGGGTTAATTTAACAAATGTAGAAATACTCCTCTTGGAGGGTTGGGATTTACTTTTTGGATGGCATGCCTATTTAATTTTTAATAAAAAGGTCGATAGGGTCTTTAAATCTCATATTATAAGGATTTCTTTGGTGAACCAGTTCTACTAGATACCTGGGAAATTATTTGGGTGAAGAATGTCAAATTTACACAAGCCCAAAACTTAAGGGAGAATTTTTACAAAATGTTTTATAGATGGCACCTTGATCCACAAAAAATGTCTCGCATGTATCCTGACTTACAGCCTAAATGTTGGAGATGCGGATGTTTGGATGCTACTTACTATCATATCTGGTGGTCGTGTAAAAATATAAAAGCTTTTTGGATTAAGATATGGTGGAATATTCAAAGAATTTTTAGAAGGAGGGTAAAATTTACCCCACAATTGTTTTTGTTAGGTATTGTTACTGATTGTGATACTAAAGAGACCACATTGATGTTAAATTTAATTACAGCCGCAAGGTTGTTAGTAGGGCAATGTTGGAAGAAGGAATCTTTGCCTACTTTGCAAGAGTGGTTTTTTAAAGTTTCTTATTTGGCGGAAATGGCAAAGATTTCGGCTTTTTTGAAGGATCAATCGCAAGAGAAGTATTTTGCGGTATGGAAAAAATGGATAGATTTTATACAATATAAGTTGGATATAAAAAAAATATTATTTAGTTTTTCAATAACTTATATTTAAAATTTAAAATATTTTATAGACTTTATTCTTTTTTATTTTATTTTTTATTATACTTTCTTTAATCTTTTTGTTTTTTCTTTTTCTTTATTCTTTTTCCTTTTAAGTATTTTTCTTTTGGTATTTATGTTTTTTTATATATATATTATTGTTAATTATTTTATAATTTGTTCAATTAATGTATTTAGATTTATTCATGGTTTATATCTTTTTTAAGATTTTTTGAAGAAATTTCAATTAAGCCTATATTCAGCTCTGGGAAGGTCGGGGGAGGGAATGGGAGGGTTGGGGAGGTTTGGGGAAGGGTTGTTTTGTTTTTGTAAAATTTAAAAAAAAATTCAATAATAATAAAAAAAAAACCTTGAACCACAGAGCTTTGGCCCCAGGTCCTGTCTAGAACACCTGCAACCATTTTCTCTTAATAAAGGATGCCTGTTGGAAGAAATATTCCAACAGTTCTGTCTTCTTAAAATGCAAAGTGGGTGGGTCTTTACAGAAATCTTGAAATAGAATCTAAGAATGAATCCCCTCTGGATATATTTTTCTGACTAGCAAAATTTTTGGAATTTGAGATAAAATTGCCATATCACAGTAGAAGGGTTACACTTTATACCTCTTTTTGGAAGTAGCTAGTAGTCTTCTAGGTGCAGGAAAGGTAAATAGCTTTTATTTATTTTCTGCCATCCTTTTCTTCCTATTCTTCTTCCATCTGAAAAAGTATCCCTTTTATTCTTCTTCCTCCTTCACCAAAAACCTCTCTAAGCAGAAACAGAGCAGACATGGTCAAATGTTGGCCTCTTTTGACCTGCATTTCCAATAATAGTTTAATACATGTGCATCTTTTTGGTCCCTATTACTGCATGTTGTATGAAAGAACACATTCTATATATGGACAATGAAGGAATTCATACATGTTACATTAAAGATGGTAGTGATGGTGTAGTTGGCGAAGTCATGAGTGATACAACAATAGTTATCTTCTGTTTCCTTTTTAGGGTGCTGGAGGTGGACTGGTAAGCAGCCTTTTTTATTTTGTGCTATTCTGAATGCTCTTCCATCTGAACAAGCACCCTTTTATCTTTTCCCACCTACACTAGAAGCATATCTAAATTCCTCAGAGCACAATCTCACTGAGAGACAAAGTTGCTAGTAATTGTTCCCAGTTTGAAGCCCAAGCATGGTGCAGGTCCGTGTGAGATCCAGGGGGAAGATCTTGCCCATTTATCAGGGAACAGTTTGATCCTGTTGGACCCAATGAAGTGGATAGGATCTTTAATGCTATTAGTGCATCCACCTGTCAATTAGATCATTGACCCGCCTGGTTGTAAAAGCCACAAGGATGATGACTGCCAGGTGGATTGAAGCAGAGATAAATTCTTCAGTGCAGGAGGGGACATTTCTGGGGCCTTTTAAGGAGGCCCTGGTTTGCTCCCTTCTTAGAAAAACATCACTTGATCCCACCTGCCTGGATAATTTCCATCCAGTTTCCCATCTTCCCTTTCTAAGGAAGGTGGTAAAAGAAGTGATTGATTGGCATTTCCAGAGGATCTTGGAGATTATCTAGATCCCTTCCAGTCAAGATTCAGGCCCAGGAAAAGAAAAAGCAGATCTATGGTGGGAGCAGGATTGGGACAGTGCAACCATCCTTGTTCTCCTTAACCTCTGGTCAGCCTTTAATAACATCAACCTTGGTATCCTTTTGGGCCAGTCTCAGGGTTTGGGGCTAGGCAGCACAGTATTGCACTGGCTTGGCTCCTTTCTCCAAGGCTGATCCAAATCAGTGCTGATAGGGAGGGAGAGGTCCAGCACACAATTGCTCTTTTGTGGCATGCCACAGAGCTCAGTACTCTCTCCACTCCTTTTTAACATCTACATAAAGCTGCTGGGTGAGGTCATTTGCCACCATGTGTTGAATGTTGATGTGTCATCAGTACACTGATTATATTCAACTTTATATCTCCACCTCTGGTGATCCAAGTGATACTTGCGCTGCCCTCTCACTGTGTCTTGAGGCTGTCCTGGACTGGGACTTCACTGGCTTCTGGTTTGCTTCCTGTTGCAATGCTAGGTTGGTTATTACCTTTAAAATCCTGCATGGCATGGGTCCATGTTACGACAATGCTGAACAACGTGACCTATGACGTATCCTCAAAGTTATGATAGTTGCACTTTGACTGGGATATAGGTGCTTGGCAACCGGCTCACATTTATCATGGCTGCAGTGTCCCACAGTCTTGTTATCCTGGCTTGCAATGTGCCCAGCCAGCCTACAACAAGCAAAGTCAATGGGGGAAGCTTTGCTTAATGATTGCGATAAAAAAGTAAGTCACGAAACATATTGTAGTTTTGAGAATATGGAACGATATTGGCCAAAGCCAAGTCCTGCAGCCATTCTTCATATGTTTTAGTCTCCAGGTCTATTCTTAGTTGCTCTTCTCTGCATTTTTCCTAAAGTCTCAACATCTTTTTTGTAATGTAGAGACCAAAACTGGATGTAGTAACAAAATGCAAATTTGAGGATTTATTTTGGAGCATTTCCTTCTTATTTGCGAGTGTGCTGGGTATGACTCAGATGTAGTGGCCATTCGGTACAAAAAGCCCTGGATCGCATACAATATTCAAATATACAATTGAAAGAACAGAAAGCATGAAATGAATCATAATAATAAGGTATAAGAGGGTCCACACAGCATAACAAAGTCAGGCAAAATCAGGATTTTGTTTTTTATCTTTCTTGAAGAACTTACCTGAAGTACTTGGTAGCCTGACATCAGTAAGTCAATATTCATATAACATCTCTAATTCCCTTGAAGTCTTTTCTGTTATTCCTTTTGCATGTAACCACAGCCACCCTCTTGAGACTCACTCCTCTGAAGCATCGCCTGAAATTCCAGGAGTAATTCCAGTAGGAATGTGGTTATTGTTAGGAATATTTAAAGGATGCACTGATGCCCCTTGTCTCCCCAGAGGACAGAGTTGAACCTCATTTTCTTACATCATAATTTTCATGAATTGTACTATTTGTAATCATATATCCTATGGATTTCAAGACTCCTATTTGTTTTATAATAGGCTGGATTTCACAAGGACCTCATCCCCATTTCTTGGTATAATATACTAGCATTGATTACAGTAGCAATGTACAATAGCCTATTATTCTTATTAGTATTGCTCTATAGGCTTATGGATAAGCTGATCTTCAAATAAACTGTCTCTTGAATTTTTAAGCAAATTACCATAAAAACTGTGAAAATTGAATGATCAGCTGAAATGTTCTTAGTTTTCATTTTTACAATTCCCTATGGAGATTTTCTGGGCATGAATTCCTCAGAAGAAATGGAGTCGCCTTCACAGTCAATAAAAGAACAGGAAAAGCAATACTGGGATACAATCCCCAAAATGACAGAATGATCTCAATTCGAATCCAAGGCAAACCATTCAATATCACAATAGTCCAAATCTATACCCCAACCACTGGTGCTGAAGAGGATGAAATTGACCGGTTCTATGAAGCCCTATAGCACCTTATAGAATTAACACCAAAAAATGATGTCCTATAATAATAATAATAATAATAATAATAGTATTGATGGGGGATTAGAATGCTAAGGTAGGAAGCCAAAAGATAACCAGAATAACAGGCAAGTTTGGCCTTGGAGTACAAAATGAAGCAGGGCACAGGCTGATAGAATTTTGTCAAGAGAATACGATGGTCATAACAAACACTCTTTTCCAACAACCCAAGAGACGGCTCTACACATGGACATCACCAGACGATCAACATAGAAATCAGATTGACTATGTGCTCTGCAGCCAAAGATGGAGAAGCTCTATACAGTCAGTAAAAACAAGACCAGGAGCTGACTGTGGCTCAGATTATGAGCTTCTCGTTGCAAAATTTAGGCTTAAATTGAAAAAAGTAGGGAAAAGCACTAGGCCACTCAGGTATGAACTAAATCATATTCCTGATGAATATACAGTAGAGGTGACAAATAGATTTAAGGAACTGGATCTGATAGACAGAGTGCCTGAAGAACTATGGATGGAAGTTCGCAACATTGTACAAGAGGTAGCAACTAAAACCATCCCAAAGAAAAAGAAACGCAAGAAAGCAAAATGGCTGTCTGAGGAAGCTTTGCAAATAGCTGAGGAAAGAAGG